TGTGCATGCATACCCAGGATCCCGAGAGGAGAATGGAGGAGAAGGGATTGTGGTATGGCCACCCCCCCGGGGGGTGATTTCTTGCTTCTGTCTGTCTCTCTGGCAAGTACACGTCCCCTATAGCAAAAAAAAAAAAAAAAAAAAAAAAAAAAAAAAAAAACTTTTTTTAAAAAAAAAAAAAACCCGGTTTTAAAAAAAAAAAAAAAAAAGAGAGAGAGAGAGAGAGAGAGAGAGAGGGAGAGAAAGAAGAAAGAAAAGCAAAGAAAAAGAAAGACCCTGGATTCAGTGAGCACATGGGCCTTTGACTACAGGGAACGCCTTCACGTCTTGGTTTAGACAGTGGGGATGGGGGGAAAGCTGCCATCCTCGCCACATGCTTTTGTACTGAAATGCTCCAATCATGTCTCTCAAATTCCATGTTCCCCAATCATTTAAATTTTCTATTTTTAAAAAAACTGTGCTATAGGATACATGTGATCACCAGAGTCAGAGAGAGAGAGAAAGTGAAAAAGCATCTTCTAGGGGGGATGACCATGCCGCAACCCCTTCTCCATTCTCCTCTCAGGGTCCTATCTTCTCATGCTCACATGCCTGGCTTGTTCAAGTCACCTGGTCTGGGACCTGAACCACATATTTGGCCATGCAGGATCTAACTGCCTTAACCAGCATGCTGCCTGGCTGGTCCCAAGCACTTAAATTTTCTTTCTTCTTTCTCTCTTTTTCATTCTTTCTCTTTTCTCTCTCTCTCTCTCTTTCTTTCTTTTTCTTTCTCTTTCTTTTATTCTTTCTTCTTTCCTTTCTTTCTTTCTCTTCTTTTTCTTTCTCTCTCTCTTTTTCTTTCTTCTTTCTCTCCCTTTTTCTTTCTTGCCAGAAGGCACATGTGCTTGCCAAAGAAAGAAGGAATGGGATAAGACACCCCCAGTGGGGTATGGTCATGCTGAAATCTCTTCTCCATTTCTCCATCCTAGATTTTGGGCACACACATATATCCACCTGGCATGTGTTAGAAGTATCGGGGGTGGGATTTGGACTATAAAGTTAGCCATCTGGGATCTGGCTCCCACTGGACCACAAAGCCAGACCCATTCTCTCAAAACTTCAACCACTTAATATCCTCAGAAATTTCCCCTGAAGTCTATATACTCATCTTATTCCAAGGCATTCATAGGTGCTTAACTTTTGACAATCTAACTACTATTTTTTTACATTAGTTATTTAATTTTATTATTGCTATTATTTTATTATTATTTAATTTTATCAGAGAGAGAGAGAGAGAGAAAGTGAGAAAGCATTCTGCCAGGTCCAGGACTTGAACTGCAGTTGCCCATAGCCACCTGCCAACCCCTGCCAATCTAACTTCTAATTTTTATCAAAACATACTTCAGTACGGAGGTGCTCTAGGACACAATTCATGTAACAGTTACTTTTTATTGAAGTTGAGTCTCCTCTGAGTCTATTCAAATCTCGTCATGTGTTTTGATGAGGGGATTTGGCTGGACGATATCAAAACTGTCCCTCGAGTCAGCTTCGCCTGCCGCCTGCACACCTGTTCACACTGCTGAGCTGCACTGTGCACCATGCTGGTATTTAGAGACCAAGAAGAGGGATTTAAGTCAAGTCACAGCATGAAATAAAAACATAAAATATCTTTCAGTAAAATAAAAGAGCCTCCAACTATTGGTGGTATTTTTTCTTTGTGTTTTATTTATTTATTTATTTGTAAAAGTTTGCTTATTTTATGAAAGAGAGAGAGAGAGAGATACAGCACCCCTAGCAGGGTCTCGATACCACAGTCTATCTGGTCTCTGTTAGCCCAGCATGGCCACACACTCCTCTGTGTATGCAGGGAGTTCTCTGAATGTGAACTGGTGACCTTCCCATGTGAGTCTGCCTTGCTGAGCATCACGTTTTACCACTGCACCACTTTCCAGCCCTTCTGCTATTTAAAATAAGGGCTAAATACATGAAATACATAGACCTGCCCATTGATAGTATTTCTTACTGCAGTGTTGTTTGTTGTCCCCAATTCGTGGTCAAAATAGGACTTAGCAAAAAATAGATGTTTATGAAGTGTCTATTATGTTTTAAGTGTCGTCTTAAAATTTTGCATGCGGTATGCATCCTGCCAAGGGGTAGTACTATTATCTTCTGCAACTCACAGTGGAGGAAATTGAGGCTCACATGGGTGGTGTAAGGAATTCCAGTAGGAAATAAAATGTATCAAAAGCTGCTTGACTCCTGGAGTCCGTGTAGCCTCCTTTGGACTTCTTTCACTCCTTTCATTCCAGCTGGTGGTCAGTGGTCTGTCCACCCACCCAAACCTGCTTACCAGTCTCCGTCCCATACCAGGCACTGTGCTAGACTCAGAGGATGCATTTACAGTCACTGACCTCACAGCACCCACAGTTGGGTACAGAGAAAAGGACTTGATAAATAGGTGAGAGAACAACCGAATATACACTAAAAATTCCATTTTGTATTTACACAAAGTGACTTTTCAGCCTGGATATATTGGCAGCTCTGGTCTTCTCCAAATTCCAGAATTCATATTTCTAAGCCCATCTCCAAACTTTTAAGCTAGCTTTAATTTCTATGTACCTAGGACCTAATTTTCACCATCTACACATTGATTGGCTATGCTCAATGCCCTATCATCACCTCGTAACTGAACATGAAAACCCACCGAGTCCTGTGAGTTACTTAGCTAATGATTTATTACTTTAAGGAGAAAAGTTGTAAACAGAGATTTTGAGCAATGAAAACCTTTCAACTGAATAAACACATTCCACACTATACAAACCATGAGAATAAGGAGGAATGTTGTAAAACATGTCCGATTGTCAAAGCATCGTTTTTACTCCAACGGGAAATTTTAAGACATTTCTTCATTTGTATTTTTAGTGGCAGTAAGAATATTTAAGTGTTAAATCACAGCTTGAAAATAGGTATACACGTGTCTATTTATACAAAAGCAATATGTACGTGAAAAATACAGTTGACAATTGACAGTTGACCAGTCACGGTTCCCAGCTCTGCAGGGTCATCACTGCGGTGACTTTGCAGCAGAATTAGTGTTTAAAAAGCAGTGACATTATTCACCGTTAGGGGCCAGATAATGTCCCCACAATCCCTGTGGCTGGACAGTACAAGGCAAGTGAGATTACAGATCATAGCGAGATCTTTGATCACTTTCTGAATCAATCACTTTCCAAGTCAAAGTTGCAGCTATTGTCAGGAAAGCACCTCTTGTGAAGTCCTCCCTTTGGACTTGGGGCAGGATAAGCAGGCTTAGTGTCACGCGAGAAGGCTCAGAGATCAAGCTCTCCTGGTTGAGTGATCCTGCTCTGTATTTCACTGGCTGCTAAGACCTTGAGCGAATGCCTTAATCTCCATCGCGCTCGGCTGCCTCATCTCTAACCTAGGGCATCACGACAGTGCCATGTCTCTTAGGTGGGCGGTTTGGACTAAATGAGATACGGCAGCAAAGCTCCTAGCTCAAAACCCAGCATGTGCTCAGGCCTCACCCAATGGTTTAGCAGGAACTAGTGTGATGAATTCAGGTCTCTCTCCTTCTCCCACACTGAAGCACACAAAAGCACCCACTCTTTCAGTACTAATGCGAATTTCTTCATCAAAGGTTAATTAATGCTTAGTGTACCTCTTCTCCACCTCAGATCAAGTTAGGAAGAGCCAGAGAGGATGGGGCCAGCAGGTGGTGTGCTGATTGGGGCGTTGGATTCCACATGGCTCACTGTGTGGTTCTAGTTTTGGACCCATAGGCTAGAAAATCATGCCAGGCACATATGCATACATGCCCAAAGTCCCAAGAGGAGAGAAGGGAGAAGGGATGGCATCATGGCCATTCCCCCGGGAGGGGGGATGGTGGTGGTGGTGGTGGGTGATTTCTAAGTTTCCCTTTTTCTCTGTCTCTTTCCAGTGAGCACGTATACCCTATGACAAAAATCTTTTAAAAAGAGCCAGAGAGGCCATCTGCTGGGTCCATTTGAACCCCTGCCAATGTGATTCGCCAGTAAGAGTCACTATATGCTTCCTCGAGGGCATGGTAACGTAGAATAATCTAGGGTTTGGGCTCCAACTCTGTTTTTGGTTACTTCTCAGACTCTGAGTCTCAGATTTTCCATTTATAAAGTGGAGAATAAATATGTATGCAAAATTGCTGGTATAATTATTGGGTCACTCGGTAAGTCATGATGCATTTTTGGATTGAAAAACAGAAAAATACATCATGACTTTCTTGACAACCTAGTAAGAACATAATGAAAAGCTTAGCACAGTGCTTGGCCCCAAGTAAGAATTCAATAAATGGGCATTTTTTTGCATTATGATTATTATTCCTAATTTTTGTTAATGCAAGTCACACTATCTCAGGACATTCTGACTCATTCTTCATTGCCATTGGGCCCAAATCTCCTTCCCCACAACTTGGACCCAGACTTTCTTACTGGTCTCTGCAGAGGGCAGGTTTATTTCTCAAAGTAGCAGTAAGTAGATCATTCCAGCCACCCGAGTCCACCCATGCTAGGCTCATACCCAGTTCCTCCAACCTAGCTTCCTGTGGTCTTGATACTGTGTTCGGTTTTCCAAACTGGGGTCAACTTCAGTGAGACGCAGCTCGTGTGTTTTCACTGAATTTCAAATGGGGTTAGTTGTTCTCTAGCCTTGTGGTTTATAGATGGCTTATGTTTCCATTCTAAGAGACTCCAACATGGGCTAGCACCTAGTGCATAAGGCAACCACATCCTACATGACCAACCATGGTTCAAATCTGTCCTAGAGGCTTGGAAAATGCACTGGGCACACGTGCATGTGTGCTCCAAATTCCAAAAGAATGGACAAACAGAGGACAAGGAATTGCAGCAATACCACACTCCCTTGGAGGGTTCCTTGGGAAGTGTTTTTCTCCCTCTCTCTGACTCTTTGATTGTCTCTGGCAAGTACACATGCCACCTGGCAATTGAAAAAAAAGAAAGACAACCCAGCATGATCCACCTGGATTTATAGTAGAGAAAATACATGACACAATTTCTCCTTACACAGGAATTCTTACATAGCATATGCATATATATATTTCTTTATATTTTTCAATGTCCCTTTTCTTATGACATTGAATGTAAATTTTTGGCTGATAAAACTAGATTTTCACATAACTTTGGAAGAAGAGAGTTTCTAAATAAAAGTAGGAGCACATGCAGGATGCCCTTTGTCCATCGAGTACACACTGAGTCACAGTGTGAGGCATAAGTGCCTTTTGGGAGGTCACAGTAAGGAAGATTTATTCCCTGTCCCTTTTCCTATTTAGAGACCCTCCCCCCACGCTGCATATAATTCCTTCATGAATTACCACACAATTCGATACGCAGCATTAGATAAACAGAAACATCTTTTAAACGTGTGATGAGACTGGTTTTGACTTGGAGAAGCTGATCTACAAGGGATGACGGATTCGATATTATTTTGGATGCCTCGGTACCTAAATGATCAGAAAATCAGCCACTCTCTCTTCCCAGAAAAGGAGCTAGGAAAGCAATGGTAAGAACAAAGAGTGACAGTCAGATGTTGCTTATTCCAGCATGTTCTATTCCTACATGCTTGGAAGCTCTAAAAGAAGGGGAAAGACTATGGGTTCTGAAGTCAGACCAACTTGGGCTTGAATCCCACCCCTCTCTTTTACCAGCTGGATGACTTTGGTCAAATATCCTCACTTCTCTGATCTCTAGTTTCACATTCGTATTAACAGAAAAAATAATGGGAATTTCTCCACATTGTCATACAGGTTCAGTGAGCTTGCATATGTAAAGCACCGAGAACAACATAACATAGAAGGTACTAAGTAAAGGAGTTTAACAGTAAATGGTACATTTTACTAATAAATAATAGCCTCATTTCCATCAATAAAAAGTTTCTCTTTCTTTTAGCTTCAACTCCTTTTTGACTTTTCATTCCTATTTCTAAGCTAATAAGCCTCTGTCTTCATCATCATTTTGGTCCTCAGATCCCAAAGCTATGAAATGGGTAATTTTGGCAGAAATAAATGTGTCCTGGTCCCTGGGTCCTGTAGCCTCCAGCTCTAGAGGCCACCCCAGGCTGATGCAGAGTAGACGCTTCCTGGTTTAACCCACACCCAACCTAGATCTGTCGTAGTTATTTCAGGCCACCTCGGCAGGTCTTCAGCTGAGTCTCTCAAGCCTCCTTAATTAGTTATTTCAGGCCACCTCACCTGGTCTTCAGCTGAGTCTCTCAAGCCTCCTTAAGAGAGAAGAATGTCCCAGGGTACCACTCTCAAGGGTCAGAGAGGCCAGTCCAGAGGCTCCACCTATTCCCATGAGTCCCATGCAAGGAGAGCCTCAGGATGCATGGAAGAGCCTGCCAACAGCCCAAAGGCCTGTCAGACGGCTGCAGATCTGGGGCTAGTGTTCATTGCTCCTTTGAGGTTGTTTACCTTATCCTGACCCTGATATTAACTGGGCACTTTTCTTACAAACAAGAATGCAATTTATCAAATTGCTTTAGACTGAGTTGAACCCAATGTGGACTGTTCACAGTACAGGAGTAAAGATAAACTTAACCTAAAAAATGCCTAGGTTAGTGAATACAACTTTCCATTAAAAGTTTCCATTCCAAACCCAAATAATCATTCACCTCACTTGGCAAATGTATGATGACCTTGGGGTGCACACATCTTTGGGATCAGAGCTTCTTTGGGTATGCTGTGGTCAGAACTGCCCAGGAAAGTCCCACATGGCAGGTCCGAATAATCTCATCTATTCTTCTGAACAGAGACCCAAGAAGTCTATTCAGACTTCTTGTTTGGCACCTATACAAGGAATTAGTGGTATGGGGTATCTGGCTGATTTTATTCTTTGGAACTTGGGAAAGATCCAGCAGGACTTCCAGTGATTTGGACAGGCTGAATCAGGCTTCAGTCTGGTCTAGACAGTCAGAGACAGGCATTTTCTTTGGAGTGGATGCCTTAGCCTGAGCAGCACCATCAGCATGGGTCATCTGGGTAGTTGGAGACAGAGAAGGAGGTCAAGGGTCTAGTCCAAGGTCATGAGAAGTAAGGAGGAAGTGGATAAAAGAAGGCTCAGTTGTGAAAGTACTTGGCCTAGAAGGTTGACTGCTTTACAAGCTTTAGGCCAGGCCCCAAATCAATCCTTGATTTGCTTCTGCCTAATTGGCAATTTCTGAAAAGTCAGGGTAGGATTCCAAGTCAACAAAGATGTCGTTGGGATTCCTGCAGCTCAGGTTGCAGAAGCAAGCGTTAATCCACTGGACCTGGCGGGAGAAGCCAGGCCCCTCTGGACACTGGAAGGAGACATCGATGGTCTTGGACTTGTAGGGGACGCAGCACCTGTCGTCGGTGCAGATCCCGCAGTACTTGGGTCTGTAGGAGCGTGTGCTGCTGCAGCCCGCAAGGGTGAAGTTCATGGGTGCCTCTGGCTGGTACACAGCCAGACACTTCTTACCTGCCTGCAGGAAAGGACAGGAAAGCAAAGAAACTTTTAGCTGGGGTGTGCAGAGAATGGACCACCTTCTCCCCTCCCAGTCCCCTGTTGTCCCCTTCTCAGTGTGTGCTTCACCTACTTTCAGAATCACAGCATCTTCCAGCAAGGAAGGATATTAGCAGATACAGGGAGATTCTCAATGTCTTACACAGAGGTAGCTGAGGACTCGAAGAGGATTGCCATGCTTGGGTGGAATCTCTCAGCTTTCAGTTCCTCTTCTCTCCTGCATTTCAGCCTTGACAATGCCCAGTCATGAGTCAGTTTCACTAACATAGGAAACCTTTATAGTTTCTTCAGCCAACCTAGCTTCCCCAGCTAGTGAGTAGCAGAGCTGGCATGGGGACTTTATGATCAGGGATATGCCTCCTCTCCTCTGCCTTCCACAGCCTCTCACACACACTGCTACTGTGCAATACATTTAGCAGGGTTTATGTTACTTAAAGGTAGCTCTATCCTTCCACTGTACTTTGGGCCACCTGAAACTTGGGGCTCTTTTTCTGTGTCTCTGGTATAATTTTGAGGCTGGCAAATAGTAGACTCTTACTAAACTCATTGGACTAATGTCCTCAGGGTCTATGGTGTACTAACACCATGCCAGAGCTAGGGTAGAGCAGATTCAGGTTACGTGGGCACCAAGTTTATGCAGCTCGGGGAACCTCTTAGGGCACAGCACGGTGGGGATGGTGGGAATCAGGAGTCAGTTAGCTCAGAGCCTTTGCTTCTCCCCCTGCTGCAGTGTCTTTTCTATTCAGGGAGAAAATAGAGAAGAAAGTAAGGCAAGAAGAGGGGAAGCAGGAAGAGGAAAGATGGATCTGGCTGACAAACTCAGAGATGGCTATAGAGGCTCTCCAAGAGACAGGTGCAGTGTGAACGACTGCAGAGAACTGTGGGCAGCTGGGCTGTCTTGTCCTCTGAGCCATCCACTCCGCAGTGTCACTGAGGAAGCATCCGGGATCCAAAAGTAGAATCAGCATGGAGTTTTGTTTTATTTTGTGTTGAAGGGATACCAGATAGACCAGCCCTAGAGCATGAGCAAGGAGGCCTCAAGGCAGGCGAATTAGGTGCATTTCTAATTCCAAGGGCTGGGATCAGTCTGCATCCCAACTCAACCCTGATGCCTCATTTTAATTATCTTAGACTCTCAGGACTGTGAGGAAAGTTAGATGTCAGCTTTAATATTTTAACAATGAGGGGAGGGGGTTAAGAGATGAGAGGAGATTGGCCACTGCTGCGTCCAGTGACAGTGACGGCAGACAGGCATTGGCTCTAAGCGTCCTGAGCCTGTTTAGTGCATGTCGTGGCGCTTTGTGTGGCTGTTGCATGCTCCAGTGTAGGTGGGAATGGGCTGGCATGGGAGAGAAGGGAGGGAAGAAGTCGGCGAGGGTCCCTCAGAATTGTTACAGTAGAGGAACTCTCTAAGATCCCTGAGTCTGCTCTGGGTGACCTCTCTTCTTCTAGCACCCACCCCTTAAATGTCAGCTGTTCTAATAATATGGTAGCCCCAAAAGTTTCCATTGAGTGGAACTCACAACGCACCAGTCCTGTCACCATATCTCAGCTAACTAGTACACCAGCCCTACCAGATGAGTTTAATTATTCCCATTTCACACACGGTCCCCAGGAGGATGCTCAGGAGCCAGGTTCAGCATCAGGTCTGCCCACTTATCCAGTCCAAGGCAGCTACCCCTGCTCTGAACTCACCTTGATGTGAAGGCGGAGGTCCACGTCACACGGCCGCAAGTTGCAGAGACGGCTCTCCTGCTCAGGCCAGCAGCGGGCGTTGATGGTGGAGATCCGGGTGGAGACCCCCAGGCCACAGGTGGTGGAGCAGGGGCTCCAGGGGCTCATGTAGGCAATGCAGTTCTGGTGCCATGGCTCCACCTGGCCCGCGGCCGCTGAGCATGGGGACCAGATTCTCTGTGACTCTCCAGCCTCCCCCAGTCCCCAATCTTCACCCATCACACTAAGATTGGGATCCCCAAAACCCAAGGGGAGCAAGAGAGAGCAGGTTGACTTCTAACCCATACAGGGACCCAGGGGCAGGAGGACATGTTCTAAGATAGACACATGGAAGGGAAACTACCCTTTGAGACAGGTGAGCCTGAGTTCAAATCCTGCTTTACCATCTACAAGCTGTGTGATCTTAGGTAACTCACTCTGGGCCTGTCTCCTCATTAGAACGACCATGTCTGCCTTGTGAAGCTGGTAGACAGTGAAAGTGTCTCAAATTGGAGTGAATATATATTTAAGTACCCTGCTAAGTGCTAGGAATGAAAGGTTAGGAAGACACTCTTCCTGCCCCTGCAGAGATTAAGCTTATTTGGGGGAAATTCAATGGTGAGCACCTACATCCTAGTGCTGAAGATTCCATCTTGGTAAAGCTAAGGGCGTAGTGATTAAGGGGACACAGGGGCTTCAGAGACAAATGACCTGAGTTCAGCTCATGGCATTGTTACTTACTGGCTGTATAACTCTCCCCCCCATCCCCGATTAGCTAGGCCCTGTGCCTACACTCCACCCCCCACGAATGAGGCTGACAACAGCATCTCCCTCCCAGGGCTGTGGTCAGAAAAGACTGGATGGTCCTGCCTCTTCGTCAGCCCTTGGTCCCGGGAGAGTGTGTAGGTGCCTGATTGTTGACCGCACTGACCAGGGACCCTTGCATGATTTTGTTCATATGTGTATCCCTGACATCTAGAACATGGTGCGGGGAGCAAAATCTGTCTGAAAGATGGAGCTGAGCTGGAGACGGAGGTAGCAAGTAAGATAGAGTGCTATTTGTGGGAAGACAAAACAAGGGACACAAGAAAGAAGAGGCCAGTCTCAGCGGGTGCGTGTGCACGGAAGCTGAAGAGGCAGAGGGGACAGGGCTGAGAAGACAGGTGGAAAGGCAGAGAAAAGAGGGAGAAAGAGAAATGGAGAGACAAAATTGGAACTAGAGGAGAGAAAATACGAAGGGGGGGGGGAGAGAAGTGAAAAGTGATACAGGGGAGAAATCTAGAAACCAGTGGAGAAAGAGGGGAGGGCAGCTCTGTACTCAGCCCCTCGGAGCTAACAGGTATGGAGAGAGTGTGGATAAAGGAATGCAGGAACTAATGGGTGAGAGAGAGATCTGAGAGACCAGAAAGAAAGGGAGGTGTCCAAGGACAGAGGGCAGGCAGGGCTGGGCAGCAAGCTGTTGCTGTGTGTCTGGGGAGGGAGAGATTTGCCTAGGAGGATAAAGGGCTTTCATTTCTGGGTCACCAGGCTTGGCGGGGCTCTGCCTTTGCTCAGTCACCACGAGGTCACTGGGCCACACACAATGGGCAGAGGCTCTTGCCTCCCCTCCCCCACATGACCCTGCTGTGGCCCTGCTGATGGGGGGCTGTGATGAGACAGCTTCCTTGTTGTCCTGGGCCTGCTGGGGACCAAGTTTTCCCTGCCGCCTCCCACACTATCGCAGGACTGCTTCTTCACTGGAGCAGTTTTGTCCCCTGGGGCACATTTGGCAATGTCTAAAGGTGTTTTTGGTTGTCACAATTTGTGGTGGGAGATGCTACTGGCATCTAGGAGGTGGCAGTCAGGGTTGCTGCTGAACAGGACAGCCCACCTCAAAGAATGAGCCAGTCAGTAGCATGGTGGGTAAGGTGCTGGATCCCACCTGGCCAACCTTGCAGTTCAAGCCCCAGACCCAGTGGCTTGAAAAGCGTACTGGGTATGTGTGTGCGAGTGTGTCCTAAAATCTCAAGAGAATGAAGAAGATAGGACTGCGGTGTGGCCATTCCCTGGGGAGTGATTTCTTCCTTTCCCTCTCTCCAGTGAGTGTACATGCCCTATAGGAAAAAATAATCACCTGACTCGTTGAAGTGGCTGTGGTGAGAGGAGAAGTCCTCATCCACACAGCCCCTGAGCAAACCCATGCACTTACAGTTTAAAGCATTCACCAACACCCTTGGGACTCCCTGACTCTATTGCCATTTTCTGCTCCCTCATGTCCACTCGCCTGGTAAAGGCTCTCTAGAGAGGTCCTCCTTCACTGTCTTCTGGGCATGAGGAGCTCCCGTTTTCCTCTCACATCCCTGACTCTCCTTTCTGCCTCTCCTTGGCCTCTTCTTCTAGCACCCACCCCTTGAATGTCAGCTTCCCCAGACCTCTGCCCCAGGACTGCTTACCCCACGGCCATCCCACTCTTGGCTTTCAGTAACTCCAAGCAGATAGCTTTTGGAGTGCTCTCCTGCTCCTGCTCCATCATCCTCTCTAGTGCTGCCCCTGCTGGAGTTTTTACACTATGGTCCCATGGGCAGGGTATCCTGACTCAAGTTCAACCTATCTCAGATGAAGTGGCTTTCCTTCACCCAAACATGGTTCTTCTCTTGTATTCTAGTCTAGGTAATGATGAGCCAGGGAGTCATCTTCCACTCCTGTCCTTCATGCTATACACTGGGTTGACACCAAGACCTTTGGTCTCACTCGAGCAATGCCTCCAGCATCTGTCCCTTCCTTACCAGCTCTGCTCCCACTATAGCAGTTCAGGCCTTCATTAGCATATCAGTTCATCCAGCCATCATCCACCCATTTATCCATCCAGCCATCAACCATCCATCCACTCATCTATTCGTCCATCATCCATCCATTCATTCACCCATCCATCATCTTTTCATTTATCCATTTATCTATTTATCCATCCATTCATCCACCCTCCATCCATCCACCCACCTACCATCCATCCACCCACCCACCCTCCATCTATCCACCCTCCATCCATCCATCCATCCACCCTCCATTCATCGTCCATCCACTCTCCATCTTTCCATCCACGCTCCATTCATTCATCCATCCATATATCTATCCATCCAACCACTCTCCACTCATTCATCTATATATCTACCCATCCAGCCAGCCACCCTCCACTCATTGATTCACACATCTATTCATCCATCCATGTACCAATATAACAAATATTAAGTGGGTACTGTCTGGCACTGGGCTAGGCTTCAGGAGTCAGTGGTGAAACAGACTTGTTCCCATGATCCGTTTCCAAGGCTTCCTCTTATCTGGCTTATCTGTCTGAGGTCTTACCTATCCACCCCTCCTGCATAATAAAGGGGAAGCCTCAAGTCATCATGAAGCCTCTAGTAGCTCTGTCTCTTCCTTCTCTTGTCCTTGCACCTCATGCCATCCCAACCCAGGTACTCATACCCACTCTCTAATATCTTCAGTGGGGTAGTAATGGGCTGCATACATATGACTTTATTCTTTATAAACACTTCCTCATTCTATGCTCTCAGGGTCTCACAAGGCAGGCAGTACCTTGTGATATTTCTATTTTGCAGGCTGGAAAATAGGGTCCCAGAGGAGATGTGACTTTCCTAAGGTCACACAGCTTTTAAGTTGTAGGCTGGAGAATGGGACAAGAGGGCTCAAGTAGTCCATAGGTACCCAGAGTCCCTGGAAGGTCTGTAGCCCCCTGTAGAATATGCAGCCCTCCTGTAAGGCCCTGCCACTGGCCCGCCCAGGTCCTTGAACCCACCGAAAGCATCCATGTCACGTGGTGCAGTCTTGTGTGGCTTCTTGACGTCATCGTCACACACCCACTGCTTGCAGCAGTGGCCAGGCACGCTTGCCCGCCGGGGGTGGCGGCACCAGAGACGTGGGGGACGCTCATGGAGGCACAGTGGTGTGCAGCCCACTGCACCGTCGACACATGTGCAGTTGTACTTGCAGTTAGGCTGGAAGGACTGCCCATTTTCATAGCGTACCCCATCCAGAACGCAGCCCACGCCGACCACCTCTGCAAACACAGGCAGACATGAAGTTAGGCCTGATGGGCACAATACCCATAGCTGGGCAGGGCTGCTGCTATGGAAACTTCCCATTGCTCAACCAGACCCCTATCTCAGGAAATCTCTCCCAACATGGGGGGGGGATGCCAGGGCAAAGCCAGGGAGGGGTGAAAGGACTTACACAGTTGGGCAATAAGGAGTGGAGTGGGACTTCAGTGTGAGTGTGCAGGAGGTTCTTCATAGCTACACCGCCCCCACTGAGTGACCCCAGTGCCAGCCTCTGAGTGGAAGGATGCAGGATGCTGAGGGCAGGGTCCTAAGGGGCTTATTCTCTACACTCCCCACCTGACATAAGCCTGCTACCGATAAATGCCTGCCACAAGGGCTCATGGCTCTACAGAAGGCAGACTTGGAAAACATTCAGCACCCTTAGAAACACACGTTCCATTCTTCTGGTGCCTGTTTATGGACCCTCCTGGGTGCTGAGGATTCAATAATGAACAAAACAGACAAGTCATGTCCTCGAAGACCTTACCTTGTTGTGGGTGTGACAGAGGAAAGACTATAGTTCGAATGGAATGTCAATGGTGACAGTTGATGGTGACAACTGTGTAGAAGAAAAGTGGAACAGAAAGAGGGAATTGGGAGTGGTGGGCAGTTGCAAGATATTTCTTTTCATTCGTGAGAGAGAAAAGGCGCCCCAAACAGGGCTTTGTTGTAGTGACCCTTCCTCAGCCCCATAGCCAGCCAGGATCACAGGTGCATGTGAACATGACTGGTGTGTGCAGTTAGACCCAGGATCTGAACCCAGGCCTCCATGTGGCTCCAGTATCTCACAGAGGGACTCTACTGCTTGTGACACCTGGGCTGAACCAAAGCTGCAAAATTAAATAAGGTAGGGGCTGGGGAAGGCCTCACTGAGGTGATGATATTTCGGCAAAGACTTCAAAGACGTGAGGAAGTGAGTCCGCCCAGGTGTTGGGAGAGGAGCTTTCCAGGCAGGAAGGGGACCTACCACAGGTGTAAAGGTCTGAGGTGGGAGTGGGTCTGGCTTGAAGAAGGAGACAGAGGAGGGGAGGGGGCTAAGGAGATGAAGTCAGAGAAGGTTCCCCGTGGGCTCAGAGGACAATACAAGCTGTTGGAGCCCCAAATCAGGTCAGGCACACAGCAGGTGCTCAAGCAGCATCAGAATGAGAATCCTCATGACGTCGAGTTGAATATAGACTGAAGAGGAGCGAGGGTAGTGTCAGGAGGCCACCCTGGTAACTCAGGCCAAGATCCAGAGCCATGAGAAGGGATATATTTGGAGGGAAAGCTTTCAGGAGTTGTGATAGAGCATATGAGGTGGAGAGGAAGGGGGACAAGGATAGCTTCCGGCTCTATCCATGGCTGGAGCTCTGGAAACAAAGAGATGTTCTGTCCTCAGAGGAACAGGGTTTGGGTACGTGGGTTCGGGGTTCTTTAGATGACATGAGGCACATGGCCGGGTGGGTTAGTTATACAATCCCGAGTTCAAGGAGAGCTCTGGGGCTGCTGGGTCAGATGTCACCCTTCATAGCATGCCTAGCTTTGAGAACAGCTTCTAGAAATGCAGGAAGAATGTACCCTGGCACCCAGAGCCTGGAACCTGCCGTCTGCCAATAGGTCTCTCCTGCCCCTGGCTTTGTCTGGAGGTGGTTAGTTATGATACTAATTCTAATGTCTAGCAGGAGTGAAGGCTTTCCAGGCACTGCCTCCGCGCTTGGCCACTGGCTCTGCCCTGTCAGGCTTATTGCATGACTTCTCTCATTCTAGAGGAAACACTTTCGTAGTCGCAATCTTCATTTTTACACAGAGCAAAACTGAGTCTCCGTGAGATAAAGTCACATGTCGAAGATGACTGTAGAGGGAAGCAGAATCTCAGTCTGTGTGGATCTTGCTGTGGTTACTGTTCTTCCGGGGTGTGGTTACCCATGGAAGAGGTGCAAACAGGAAAAGCACTAACATTCCCTGACCATCTGCTCTGTGCCAGGCACACTGGCCACGTCAGCTCATTCAGCTCTCCCAACAACTCCATGAGAAGAGCTTTCTTTCTTTATTTTCGTTGTCTGGCAGACAGGAAAGCTCAGAGAGGTTAAGTTACTCATTTGCTCAGAATCAGGAAGCGAGTACATGACTGAGCTGGGACTTAATCCTCGGGGGTATCCTTGTAAGGCCCATTTCCTCCACCAGACACCAGGAAGTTGGGGAAATAGGAAAGGAATAAAAGGGAGGAAGCACCAATGAATCACTGAGCTTTGCACTCTGACTCACTGGCCATACCCTCCCACTCCAGGAAGCAATGTGAGTGTGTGCCTGTGTGCCCGTAGTGTGAATATGTGTGCACGTGCATATGTGTGCATGCATATATGTGTGTATGTTGGTGGAGGTGGCAGTGATCTGAAGCCCACAGCTCCACCCCTGTGTATGGAGATGTAGGAGGGAGGAGCCAGTCCTGAAGGCTGAGGAGTCCTCAGCACAGTGGCTCTCAACTTTAGCTGCATGACTTAACCTCTTGGGGAGCTTCTGAAAAGTCCCATGCCCACATCATCGCCAGAATATGGGATTGGTCTGGGTTTCAGCAGTTTTCTTTGTTTGACCTCCATAGTTTTCAAATTCCCCCAGGTGAGTTCACTTTTCACTCAAGGCTGAGAACCAGGGCTGCATCTAGAAGGAGCTAGTCTCCTGGAGCATTGGGTGGGGATTATGATACTAATTCTACTGTTAATGACACTAACAGCGTGTACTGTTGGCTCTGACCAGCCTGCCCACCACTGGCTAGAGGGAAATCAGGTCAGGTGTGGTGGACTCAAGGGTCCCTTCTCATTTACTTTTTAAAATTTATTTATTTTTTGCTAGAGGGCATATACACTTGCCAGAAACAGAAAGAGGAAGAGAGAGAAAAGCACTCCTTGTGGGGGATGGCTGTGCTGTAATTCTCTCTCCTCCACCTATTACTCCAGATTTTTTATGCAGTTCTCTCTCCTCCACCTATTCCTCCAGAATTTTTTAGCCATACACACACACACACACACACACACACACGCACACACACATCACCAGCAAGTTCCCCAAGCTCTTGGGTCTGGGACCCAAACCACAGTCAGCCTTGTGGAATCCAGCTACCCCAACCACCATGCTACCAGCTGGTCCATCACTCACTTTCTTTGTAATGAGTGAGGTAATGAAGCTAGTTGTTTCCTTTGGTATTTCTTGTCTAATCTCAGGTTGCAAGTCCAACATGGTCTGGTTAACTGTCCTCTTCCTGAAGGACTTTCAGGAATTTGAATCACATTGCTCTGCCATTTGGCCTTCACTATTCTCCCTCATACCCTGAGTGGACTGTCGGCTGCAAGACACAGTGGTCATGCTTTATTGTAACCCTGATTTATATAGTTACTCACCTATGTTTACTGAGTGAATGAATCAATGGGTGAATGGATGGATAGGTGGGGATGGATGAATTAAAAGTCGGGTAAGCCCTACTCTTTAACTGGCCCCAACCACCAGAGAGCTGGACGTTCTTTGTCACATTTTCCTCAATGACGAAACTCAGAAGGTTATGAAGTCATAGTGCTAGTTAGTGATAATGCTGAGATTCAGACTCAGGCTCTCTAGCTCCAAAGACCCTGCATAAGTCCCTCTTCCAACTGGGGAAGAGTGGGCCTGGAACTAGGCCTCTCCTGCTCCCAAGAATGACCATGGATAGGGCTGAGAGGAATTATGCAAAGGAAAGTCAAAACAAGGCCAATAAAACAAACAGCAAGAGCCAATCACATTTTCCCCTATCCCTTATTCATTCCTCAACAACCAAGTGAGGTAGATTTTATCAAGCTTTTTCAGTGACATGCTCACAATCACGTAGCTAGCAAGTGGCAGAGCCAGGATTTAAAAACCAAGTATGTCTTCCTGTAAATATCAAGCTCCTTCCACCAAACCACAGTGCCCTCGGGCCTGACCCACATGCATGAACGTAGACTAGTGTTTGTACAACCAAAATAGCCAAACAGTCTAATTCAGAGTTCGCTCTGCCCAGAGATATTTAGTTTGGCCCACAGGGTGTTTTTAGAAAGATTTTTAATGTGTTGCCAACATTTACAAATTGTACACAAATCTGGATTTCTGGATTCTTTTGAAAACTGAGAAGACTGGACAAGACCTTGCTCACTTTTCTGCCTGACCACAGAGGCTGAGGCCCAGTAGGATGACCTCTGATAGCGAAGGCTTACTTTCACGAGTTTGCCAGAGTCTCCGCCATCTTCCCCTGAAGTGATAGGTGCCAGAATTATGGTTGCTCATTTTTATCACCTGCCGTGTCCTGCCTCAGATGCATGCAAATCTCCAAAAGCAGATTTAACCTGTTCTTGGGACAGTCTTCTGGGTGAGTTCATCATTTTCTGAAGATTGTTTCTTAGAGGTATCCTCTTTTTTCTTTCCCCTCTAGCCCAGATGCCTTCCTGTCAATGTCTTTAGACCCTGGTTTCTCTTTATCCTGTCTTCTTTTTAAAAAAAAATTTATAAGAGCTTATCTATTTCTTCCATGAATGAAAGAGATGGAGAGATAACACCCCTAAGAGGGTCTTAAACCCACCCCCAGTCTCAGCCAGCCCCAAATAAATGGGACATGTGTATGCCCAGTGTCCTCAGGGAAGTTTCCAGACAAAAACCAGCAACCTTCCCATGTGGGTCAGCCTCACAAAGCATCACATTTTATTGGTGTATCATTATCCTGCCTCCTTTCTTCTTTCTTACAGTAGAGTCTCATGAACTCGGACTGACTCTATGGTAGCATTTCAGGGAAATTGTTCAGTAGAGCACTAGAGAGTTGCATATGTCTGTATGAATGTACACACGTATGCACACAATGTGTGTGTATGTGTGTGTGCAGTAAAATGAGTAGGTAAGGATCCATTAGGACAAAAGAGTTCATTGTTTAAATAAGTTCGAAAAGAAAAGGCATCTTATGACAGCTCCTTTTCGGAATTTGATAATGGACAGGAACATTTAAAGTCTCTGAGAACTTTTGTAACACCTATTTATCTTTATTTATTTCAATTTTTGCAAACTTATATGACCAGGGAATGCTTGGGAAATATATAACACCTGTTTAAAAAAATCTCCTTTGGAGATGGTTCCATAGTCTATTGGTTAAGAGAACCAGATCCCACGTAGCTGAATCCCAGCCCTGGGACTTGAAGAGCATACCAAGTGCAGGTGCATGCCCCAAATCCAAACACGGTGGAGGAGTGGAGAAAAGATTGTAGTGTGACCATGCCCTATCATGGTTCTCTCTCCCGGTCTCTCTGGCAAGAACATGCACTCTCTGTCAGACCTCAGTTCCCCCCACCTCCTCAAATAAATGAGAAGGAAATACACAGGGGTTCCTGATGATGGGAAGCTAAGGGGGTATTAGCAGGTAAGGCAGGACCTGAGATACCAAGAGGGTGAAGGGAAGGTGGCTTTCCAGGCCTTTGGTGGAGACAGAGGAAGGAAGGCAGTTTCTCGGCCTGCACAACCTCTGAATCGAGGAAAGGATGCCTATGAAGGTGTGATACCTGGCACATAATATAGTTTAGAGATAAATAAGATCATAGTAAAGTGAATTATCTTTTTAACAATCTTGAAGAACTGTTGTTAGAGGAGAAAGAAATGATGAGATAGCCTCATATAACTGGAGATGGTTCTCATGTAGGAAGGCCAGGCCAGGTTTCCCTACCTGGGAGAAGTTACAGGGGAAGGTGGAGACTGACTTTGTCTATTAGCAGTCAGTTTTTATTGAAGGTATAGACTCCCATACTCACTTCCTAAGAATTTGATTCAACAAATCTGGGACGAGGCTCAAGAACAGCATTTTTAGCTAAATGATTCTGTGCAGACAATGTCTTAGGTTCTTTTTGAACACACTGTTCTGTGAGACTCATAATGACTCTCAGTAAAAGGAGAAAGACTGGAAGGATGAAAGGATTGAAAGCCATAGGCACATAGATTGGTATGAAAATTGAAGCATAAACTATTAATAAAACAAAAAAAGTGCCATAAATTAACCACAAGTCTCAGATAGGATGGTCTGACTTGGATTTATGTGCATAATCCTCATCAACAACATACTTCAGGAAATATAATGTGTTAGCTGAGGGTGGGCAAATGCTGCATATAAAAATGTAATGGATTATGTATGGAGTTATGATTTCAAGAAATGTGTCATTAGCACCTACAGAAGGAGTTTTTGAGATTCATGAGACTTTGTAGAACTTTTCAAAAGTCAGACTGCTGCGTAATTTTGTTTAATTACCTCTTCTCATCATGTTGGGTTGTAGTTAGGTTAAGGCATAGTTGGATCTTAGTTAGGTTAGACTAAGGTAATATAAGTCCAGATACAATCAGGAGGCCAGAGAAAAGAGATCCGCGGGGGGGGGGGGGGGGAGGATAGAATACCCACAATAGAGTATCTGAAGAGTGAATAAGCAACAGCAACCCTCCCTCCATATCCAAGGACATTATAAAGACCAAAAGCAAAGAAAAAGCAAAGGCAATTAGAATTTCCAGGAAAAACAAAAGGCATCCTAAGAAAGGAAATTCAAACAAGAACACTATCTCATGCTGCAGTGAACAGTATTTACATAGTCATAATATTATAAATACTGGAGATTGTCTAACCAAAGTTTATGACAGTGATATTTGGGTGATAGGCCAGATGTCAAGTGGTATTGAGAAGTTAAGTCAACAGCTATAGTATAGGAATATTAATAGATGATTCAAAATTGATATATTAAGCCAACTAAGATGTTACAGAAAACATGGATTATATGATAGTTACTATTAAATGATATGGCTAAAAGTTAAAAGTAACTGTAGCATCTGAAGGAACATGGCTTCTAGGAAGTTTCACACTAGTGGATGTTAGTCTTTCAAGACTACTAGATTTTTATTTTTTTTATTTTTTTAATTAATTAATTTTTTTTAGAAGAGGAGGGGAAAGAGAGGAAGAGGAAGAGAAGGAAGTGTTATGATTTTTTTTTGAGAGGTTTTCTCTATAGGGCGCGTGCGCTCACCAGACAGACAGAGAGAGACAGAGAGACAGAAAGTGAGAAATCACCCCTCAGGGGGGACGGTCACACCGCAATCCCTTCTCCTCCAGTCTCCTCTCAGGATCTTGGGCACGCACGCACATGCGCCCGGCGTGAGTTCTAAGCCACCGGGTCCGGGACGCGAACAACGGTCGCCTACGTGGGAATCCAGTGACATAGCCATTACGCTAACTGCTGGTTTCCAAGGCTACTAGATTTTTAGAAACCATCTTATTTTCATTTATATTATCACCAGAATATCTGGAACTTGACAATGTCTCTGGGAGACCATGGGAATCTGTCAAAGGAATCTGCCACTAAGAGAATAAAACCAGAATTAGTTACTTCCCAGAAGCTCCCTCTTCCTCAGGAACCACCATGAGTGTACCTCCAGGATGGAGAAGAGAGCAAGAGAGCTTTTGAAGGCACATGGAATGCAAGAATTGCTCTCTATTTAAGAAGAGCTCAGACTCTGGCTTCTAATCATACACTAGAGTTGGGGGTACCTCCTACCCAACAGAAGTGTGGCCAGGTGAAGGGCTGTGTGTGTGCCAAGGGAGAGGGGTGTTGGGCCAGAGTTGGGGGTTCTGAGAGCTGATTGGAATGTACAGACGGTCTCACTTACGTGCACACACTCCTATTGCGTACCTCGGGCGGTCCCCACTGTAGTCACAGTAGAGGCCCCGATGGGGATCACAGATGGCAGCCTCCGTGCAGTTGTCCCCAAGCTGTTGGGCACACACCTTGCAGCATTCACAGCCATCTGTGATGAGGCTGACCCCAAGTGGGCAGCGGGGTGGGGACGGCGGGCACTCGCATGGCCACTTGCAGAATTGAGGACGTGAGAATGTGTCCTCCCATGGGTCTGGGGTGACATCCATGGTCGTGGAAACTGGAGAGAGGGCCTGTGGGGGAATAGCAGAGGATAATAGGGATGTTGAGGCAGGGATTTCAAAGTCCAAGTGCCCTCCAATCATCTTCCTTTCCTTTCCTTTCCTTCCCTTCCCTTCCCTTTCCTCTTTCCTCTTTCCTTCCCTTCCCTTCCCTTCCCTTCCCTTCCCTTCCCTTCCCTTCCCTTTCCTCTTTCCTTTCCTTTCCTTTCCTTTCCTTTCCTCCTTTCCTTTCCTTTCCTTTCCTTTCCTTTCCTTTCCTTCTTTCCTTTCCTTTCCTTTCCTTTCCTTTCCTTTCCTTTCCTTTCCTTTCCTTTCCTTTCCTTTCCTTTCCTTTCCTTTCCTTTCCTTCCCTCCTCTCCTCTCCTCTCCTCTCCTCTCCTCTCCTCTCCTCTCCATCCCTCTCTCTTCTCTTTCATCTCTCTCTCTCTTCTCTTTCTCTTTCTCTCTTCCTTCCTTCTTCCTTTCTTGCTTCTTTAGTTAGGTTAGACTAAGATAATACAAGTCCAGATAGAATCAGAAGGCCAGAAAAAAGAGGTCTATGGGGGAAAAAGGATAGAATACCCACAATAGAGCATCTGAAGAGTGAGCAAGTAACAACAACCCTCCCTCCAAATCCAAGGACATTATAAAGACCAAAAGCAAAGAAAAGCAAATGCAATCAGAAACTCTAGAAAAAAACAAAAGGCATCCTAAGAAAGGAATTCAAACAAGAATACTATCTCATGCTATGGTGAACAATATTTGCATAGTGTAATAAATACTGATGATTGCCAGCATAATGACAAAATTTATGACAGTAATATTTGGATATATCTTTCTCTCTTTCTTTTTCTATTTTCCTTTTTTTAATTGCCAGAGGATACATGTGCTGGAGAAAGAGAGACAGAGAACAAACAAGAGAGGGAAAACACCCCCATTGGGTTATGGTCATGTCACAATCTCTTCTTTATTTCTTCAGCCTGCTAGAATTTGGGCACAAATGTATTTGTTTTTCAAGTCACTGTGCTGGGATTCAAACTACAGTCAGCCATGTGGGATCCAGCTCTCTTAACTAATAGGCTATAGCGTCTGCCACAACAAATTCATCTTTAATCTGTGGTACGTGGAATGGTGGGCCAGCTGGGAAGGGAACCAGGGTCCAAAGAGCTACTTGCCATGGGGAACAAGAAGATGAAGGGACCTGGTATCTGAGCACAGAAGCTTCAGTTGCCCATGTGTGGGGATCCAGCCCCTGCCTGCCTTTTCTGATGCTCCTATGATTGCATTTCAGCCATCGCTCTTTGTCCTGGAGGAACCTAGACCTATGGGAGGAAGAGAATCTCCTGAGGATAGTGTGGGACATCGAGCCAGGCTCCCACTAGGATGCAGAACATGCTGCTCAAGACTCTCAAACGGAACTTTCAAGTTCTGGGGGACGCAGTGAGAATGGGACTTGTGCGGCAAAGGTAGAGGCTGACTGGGCTGCAGGGTGTGCCCTCCCTCCAACCAGAGGAGCGCCCTCCCCCATGGGATTTATATTATGCCTCTTACTGTTTGAATAACCAGTTCTGATGCTGAGAACTCCAGGCAGATTTTTCCTCCCATCACAGATAGGGAAACTGAGACCATACTGAGGCTTACACACTAATCAGTTTCTGGATCATTTCTAACACGTTTGCCTCCTCTGGGCTTTCTTTTTCACTCTGATCTAACTCATAGTCTCTTAAGTTTTAGGCATTTGAAGATCATTTTTTTGTGAAGTTTTTTCTTTTTCTTTTCTTTTTTTTTTTTTTTTAATTCTCTGTGCTTGGGGAACCCACAGTTTATGGGAGACAGGTATCAGGGGATATGACATTGGGCACTCAGTGCTGGGCAAGTGCTGGGCACTCCAGAGGAGGCAGGGAAGCTCTTGAACACCAAAGCAAGAGAGGCAATGCTGAGGTGAGGGGTACCCTGGCATGCTCAGCTGGGAGGATCAGGGCAAGGAAATGTTGTCCAGGCTGGAGGCGTGGGGTTCGCCTGCGGTCAGTGGTGTCCTGGTGCATGGATTCGCCTGCCATTGTTTGTGCTTTATCAAAGCACAACAGGACACAAGAGAAGTCCCACATTTTCAAACTGGTAAAACTAACCACATTTGTGCATGCATGTGTACACACACATATACACACATGCGCTCACACACACCTCTCTCCCTGACTTCATGGAGAGGCTCTTTCTTGTCAGGCTGTGACACTAGAGGTCTTAGAGCTTCACGAGCACCCTTAGGCTCTCTCTGACAAGTCCCTACATTGTCAGGACATGCTCTTGGCAGGGAAACAGAGGCCCTCTCTTCCAGGAAGCCTTCCCAGCCTTTGCCACCCTTTGCCACCCTTTACCACAGTTACAGATGCTGCCTCCCACACCAGGCTGTGAACAGTGAAGGGCTGGATCTGGGCTGTACGTCTCTCAGAGTGTCTAAAACATCACATGTGGCCGCAGCCGGGCCCTGTGAGTGCTGAGTGGGCATGGATAGATAGAAGATATTGTATAAAATGGTTTGGTTGTCACTCGAAATTCAAGATACCACATCCTGGAACCTCTCCTCTGATCACATTTATGCATAAGGAAGAGAATATGAGGACCCACGTGGCCCATCGTGGTTCAAATCCAGCAGCTTGACATCTGCTCCAGACACAGGGCACACATGGCCAGGATCCTGACAGAATGGAGGAATGGACGGGAAGGACGGCAGTGTGACCACACTCTGTCAGAGGGCTCCTTCTCTTTCTTTGTCTCTGATGTGCACACGTGCCCTCTGATAATTAAGAAAAAAGAAAAAGAGAAAGAAAAGAACATAGAGAGCTGAACCAGTCAGACAGCTGGGCATAATAGCACCCGCCTCTGGGACTACTGGGAGGATAAGGGGTGCATGTGTGCAGAAGATCAGGGAGGGCCTGGCACCTGGCACACACTCAAAGAGAGCTCCCTCTTGCAGTCATCGAGTGCCCTACCCTACCCCTCAGTGCCAGCATGGGGCTGGGGTCGGACACTGGGCTGCTGGGCTGGAGTCATTGTAACCTGGCAGGTAGCGCAGTCCACAGGTCCCCATCCATCCCATCTCTGTCCCACCTAAGGATCTCTAGGAAGACTCTTCTTTTTCAAACTCCTGCCTGAGGCCCCAAAGCATGCTGCTGGATGGGGCAGTCACAGAGATAAGGCTCCTGTGGACAGAGAGTGCTGAGGGGACCCTTGGGGCAGTGGAGAGAAGGGCTCTGGGTGTCCTCAGAGTCCAGCCTTTGCTCTTGGCACCACCTAGTGGCAGGAAACCTCCCAGACTCCATCCTGGGAGAAGGCCCTCACAAGAGCTATATGACCGGGCCAGAGCCTGGGTCCTAGAGGACTCTGGCATGACCTCTGAATCCTGGATGCCCTGCCCAGCACGGACACTGGGGCATGTGAGTGCAGATCACTGGAAGTCCAGACTCCTTACAATCATCCATCCCCCTGAACCCCCTCAGCTCCCGCACCCCGCATCTTTGCACACAGGAAAGCAGATGGCTGCCCGTGGGGTCTGCCTGCCAGGACCCACAGTCTAGCCGGGGACTCCTACACTGACTCTCACACCCATTCTACCGCTGGATGTAGGTGGAACACGTCCTGTGCCAGGCTTTGTGTATGGCCAGACGGAAGCCGAGGAGTGTGAGACAGGGTCCCCACCCACACTGGCTCACACCTGGTGAGGCCAACAGGCAGACAAGGGTTACAGCTCGGTATGATGAGTGCTCTGACGTGTCCACTCACGCATCCACGCATTCATTCCCCCTTTCATTTGCTCATCCAGCACACCTCTGCTTAGCTTTGACTTGTGCCTGGTGCTGTGCGCAGTGCTAGGGATGCAGGGAAGGTGGGACTTGAATGGACATACCCATGGGAGTTCGGAGGAGGGGTTGAGCCGACTTCTCAGGAAGGAGGTGTGGGAGGGGGCCTTGAAGGAGGAGTAGGAATAGAAGAGCGAGCCAGGAGGATGGGACCCAGCATGTGGGGACTGGTAGGTGCAAAGGCACTGAGCTGGGCGTTGTGCTAGTGCCCAGGGCACAGTGAGGAGGGGAGACCTGCTCTAGGGCACAGGGCAGAGGAGGGAGGCAGCAGAGGTTGGAGTGGAGGACGGCGAGTTCTGTGGGTAGCACAGACAAGGAGGGACCTGAATGCCTTGCTTTGGGCTGGAGTCTGCTGGAATGCCTTGTTGGAAGCTCTTAGGAGAGCGAGAGATTTGTTGTAGAAATAGCATGCAGTGTCAAGGGTAGCCTTTGTGTCTGTGACTCCACAAAGTCACTTTCCAACTCTCAGTTTTCTCCTCTGTGAAATGGTGTTCCCACCTCTGCTCTCCTTCCGAGTGGGTGGGAGCAGGTGGGCGGAGACCACGGCAGCAGCCCCCCCCCCCACGAC